AAAAATCATTTCTGTACAAATGTTTTTGTCGTTGATAATATGATTTTTAAATATCTGTTCATGGAAAGCTTCAAAATATTGCACTAAGAATGCAAAACCGTGTATGTTACCATTCAGTTTTTCTTCCAATCTTATTCGTATCATTATAAGAAGTAGCTGTATTACCATCATCATCATGATAAAGAAAGACATTTGTAATGTAGATCGTATTTTGCATCGTTTAAAAGGAACAAATGTGGCATAAACAGTCCTCTAAATGGCTGGAGTAAGAAGGTGGACGATACTGATCTCAGTTTGGCTGGGGATATAGAAAGAATCCGATGTTTGCGAAATCAGTGGCAAGGACACTCAACTAAATCCGAAATACAAAAACATGCTTTTGGTCAAATTTGGAAAGAATGTCAGCAGATCTGTCAAAGAATGAACGAAAGATATCCGGATGGAAATTATTCACAGGTTGGTTTATTACTAGTTTATAAACATTTGAAGGAAAGTAAGGAAAAAGCAATGTCTTAACATCTTGCAAAATTTACCTGATGTTTAACAAATTTAATTTTGAAAAATAGTGTCTGCTTTATAATAAAACAACATCCCGTTTTTATGTCGACGTGAAGTAGTAAAGAACAACAGTTTTGTGTGTGTGTGTGTGTGTGTGTGTGTGTGTGTGTGTGTGTGTGTGTGTGTGTGTGTGTGTGTGTGTGTGTGTGTGTGTGGGTGCGTGTGCGTGTGGAAAACGAAATGATTAGAGACATATTAAATGTAATGAAGGAATTATACTTTCCACAAAATTTTACCAAAGAATTCGTGTAATAACAAAGCAATTAAGCAAGATCTGCAATTAAGTATTCAATTTTTTTCATAAATATTGATGAAGGAAGTGTGTAAACAATGATAGACACGCATGTCCGTGGCACATTTAAGACAACGTGGTACGTTGCATTTTGACCACAATTATTAATAAGAGGTTAATATCTGTCAACATAGAGATGATGATTGATACTGATAATATTGAAAAATAAGTATCTTTAAAAGTAAGACGTTTGTCATCCAAGTCAAAGGTTAGTGGAATCTCCATCGACCAACCTCATTTTCTTGACGCCATATTTGTTTATAAATCTAAAAGTAGCGACGGCATCACGTGATCAATTTATTTCAGAATAGACATTGCTTTCCTTCAAGGATAATAAATAATTATAATTTTACATCTTTACCATGTTTGCGACGCGCTTCATCTTAATGATTTAATTTTCACTATTTTCGTAACTTTTGTTGGTAAAAAAAAAAATAGGAATTTCAAACCGTATTCTAACCAAAGCAAATTAAATCTGCGAAAAAAAATCATTATTTAGAATTTGCTAATTTATTTCAATTTTTTAAAAAATGTAGAACCTGCAACAAACGCTGAACGAACCACTTGCAATTGATATGGAGACTACTTGGGAAAACAATCCATTAAGAGTTAACATTTACTTCAAGAAAATGTATTCAAAAGGTATGTTAAGTTCATGATCTTGTCTATTTATAAATGCTCCTATGTGTGATAATGAAACTATAGTAAATGAACATATTTAGATGGATTTAGATAGGGTATCTCAGAGCATTTTCAAATATTCATTATTGATCATATTAATTAATCAATAACTGTTATTCAACGCCATTCTAAAAAGAAATTCACTCAAATGGAGACTTGCATTTGAAGGGTAGAAAACTCATATCTATACTCGGCACTCCCGGCCATTGAGAAGTGAGGGGTTTTTTGCCAGCACCTACTGCAACACGAGAACTCGGTTTATATGGTCTCATCCGAAGGATTGGTCTCCACGTTTCACAGTAGGATTTGAACCCGCGTCATCAGGATCAACTCCTACTCCACTTCTCTAGAGCAGACAATCTAGATAATCAATGATTGGAAATGAAACAAACTAAATAACACTGATCATATGATTCTTTTTTAAAAACATTGAATGGTCATCTGAACTAAAGCTATTGATCCTTTATCACACTTATCGTTTGTTATTATATTCTAATATTCTATTCAATATCAAGATCGATTGTCAAAAACAATCTTTTAAACTAAAGTTTGTTTAAAAATATCGGTCAAAATAACAAACATGGAATGAACACTCGCATATATCAAGCATACCGGTCACATCAGTGATCGCTAGGTTTTGATCCAGTAAATTTAATAATCCTAATTTAAAATAATTATAAAAGCACTGGCTAAACATGATATGAAAAAATGTCAGAAAAAATACCACCAAACGATATATTTTCTTTAATATAAGGTCATAATGACAAAAAATGTAAATCTACCAAAAGATCGTTTAGTATGGTTGTCGACTTGGTAACATCGAGTTAATTTTCAGTGGCTTCCTCTTGTTTAATTGTTTTATCATACTATGTGAATCGGATCAGTTTAGAAACATATATTATATACATGTGCAGATGAAATATTGAAATATTATTATATAAAGCAAAAAAAAAAATGCAATAAAAAAGCGGAGGTCACCCTGTAAGTTTTACATTATCGTTTATTGTTCTTATAACATCAAAATATTAAACGAATCTCGTAGACTGTATATTGTTACCGTCTTCCTTGGAAGACGGTATTGTATAGTTGAAGTTTTTTACAGTCTTCGGACTATGCACTTCCTCTCTTTTGTGATTGGTAGAAATTGCATGATGAGAAAATTTTCAATTATTTCATTGGTTGAAATGCTGTTCAAGGCAAGGGAGATAACTTTCTGATGATCTATTTTTCGTACGACTTAACAATTTTGCAAGATTTCCAATCTTATAAAAAATGACAAAACGAACAACAAAATAAGCAGTAATTCTTTCTTAATAACATGATATATTTTATAGCAATAAATAAAAAGGTCTCTTTAATTCATTATAAATAAAATTTGATAGTTATTGCTTGCAGGCTTTACAATTTGTAATTATTCTTTTCCCCTTTCTTGTTTGAAGAAGAGAATGGAATCCGCCGAGGTTTGCCGAAAGCTCTCGGCCAGTCAAAGTTTACGGAGATGACCGAGCGACAACTGTGGTAGGGCTAATGCCCGTAAAAAGCTAATATAGAAATACAAAATCAAGAAATTCAAAAGAATTATACGGCCTGTTATGTGTAAATCTGTTTACTGTTTAAAATTGTTGCTAAAGACGGTAAGCTTTTTTTAAAAGCTCTACTTGTCTTACATGAAGTTCACTTGAATATATCCAATCGACCTGAGAATGAAATTAAGTATCTATTGTTTACTGTTATTAAAGAAGATTTCACTATTTATCTTAAAATTATTTATGGAGTATACACCAAATTTTATTTATGGTTGTGTAATAAAATGTTTTTTGCAGAAAAAGCAGAAAAACAACGTTTACTTCAGAAGTGGAAGTTAGAAGATACTAAATTTTACGAAACAAGAGCTTTTTCTTACATCAAAGATTTGTTTCAATATGTGAATATTGTTACCATAGTGGGGGAGTCGGGATGCGGCAAATCCTCTATTGCTCAACATCTTGCTTTGTTCTATGCCAATTTGCCACAGAAATGGTGCCTTTATCCTGTAAATAGTGTCCGAGAACTAGTACATGAAGCTGATCCCATTAGTAATTCGAAACAAATATTTATTTGTCATGATCCTCTTGGAAAGGATTGCAATGATGAGATTTTATATTCTGAATGGCAAAAAAACGAAGAAAATTTAGAACTGTTTCTGCAATCGAATAATATAAAGATAATTATAACAAGCAGAGCATCTATGGTAAAAAATAAAAGAGGAATCAAACTCTTTCGCAAGAACATTATTTCCATTGACAATGAAGACTTAAAACTAACAAGTCGGGAAAAAGAAAATATTTTGTTGAATCATTGTCCTTGGTTTTCTATTCCCTCACCTCAAGAACGGCAAAGCATATTCGATGTCGAAGACTTTTTCCCTTTACTCTGTTCTCTGTTTGGCAAAAATGAAAATTTTCGAAGTCAAGGGATTTCTTTCTTTTTGAGACCTTTCTGTGTAATCAAGGAAGAGATCCATAGATTCAAACAACACGACAGAATGAAATATGCTTGTCTTGTTCTCTTGATCGAAAATAATGGTTTGATAAAAAACGAATTGTTACTTTCAAGAGAAAAAGCTAATGATTTTATAACTAAAGTTTGTGACGCTACTGAGTATATTCCCTTTTGTAACTTTAAAGAACATTTAAAATCCCTGGAAGGATCTTTCGTTAAAATGGAAGGTAAAAATTTTACCTTTCGACACGATTTTATGATGGACGTAACCATTCATGCTGTGGGAAATGATTATCCGGATGAAATTATCAGAATTTGTCCACTTCGGTTCCTCAGACACATTGAATTGGAAGACGAACAAAATGTTCCAAACAAAAAACATCAGCTTTCATTTTGCATTCATTGGAAATCTGTAAATGTCCTCTGCGATAGATTTATTTCTGATTTTGAAAATAACTTCTTAGAAATATGCTTATGTCCAATTCTATATGACGAAAGGTTAGAAAAGCATATTTTAAGGAAAATCAATTTGCTTTCAGACGATGAAATTATCAAAATATTTTTCAAAACATCTCTTCAGTCTATCCCACTACATACAATTTTGATGAACATGTTCCATCTATTTGCTCAACAAAAGTTGTTCATACAAACACTGTCTAATATATTTCACGGAAAAGGATTTCAAAGTGATTTAAATACACATATTGAAAAAATGTTAGAGATATATGCAATGTTCCTTTCTAAAGCACAGGGTAAAACGAAACAAATCGTTGAAAATGTTATACTTAGTTTTACTAAGGAGATCACGAAAATTTTTGGCGTAGAAAGTATCATTCACAAATTCAGTAAGTCAATTTATCTTTTGAATAAAGGACAAAGTTTGCTGATCAGCGATCTCAGAGATATATTACAAGAAATTTTTGGGTCGGCTGATGAAAAGCAATGTAGAGATCTAATTCGTGTTTTTCAAGAGAATGTGAATAGAGCTATGTCGGATGTTCACCCAGAAGACCGACAAATGGTAAAAGATCTCTTTGTTGATATTTTGGAAAGAGCAACTCTTTTGACTTTACAAATCATTGATGTCTTTGGAGTGGATACAATTCTCAATGCCTTAAAAGTGGATTTATTCCAATTAATAGTTAAATCTAACCCGGAGACATTTATGGCACAATGTTTCTCGGCTATAAGATGCAACAACATTAAAACTATTCGTGAGACATTTTCTACTTTAATAGAGATGATTAGTGTCAATATTCCTACTTCATTCTCGTTACCAAAGGCAAAGAAAACGAACTTTCAAGAAGCATTGGAAGATGAACTGCCATCAAATTTCAAACAAATTAAACTGGAACTTGCACTTTATGCAAGAGAATTAAATCCGACATCATGTTTACTCGTTTTTGGACAACGTAGTATTTTTGAATTCATTTTACAAAGATTAGTAAATATGCCAAATCACATGAGGTTACTCCGATCAAGAAAAGTCCTTTTAGCAGCATGCATTGATGGTTCCTTATGTCTAGTTCAAAGACTTTTTGAGATTTTAGGAATGGAAGCTCTAAATGAAAGATGGTGCTTTCTTTCGACCAATTTTCATGCATTACACATTTCATCTTACCTGCATCATTCGGAAGTAACGGAATATATCTTGGAGAAAGGCTGTAGTGCAAGCATTATTGATTTAAACGGAAATTCTCCCCTTCATGTTGCATTAAAAAGTTTGAGAAACAACTTATCAGAGGAGCAAATATCGAATGCAGAAAAAACAATAAACCATCTTCTTAGATATGGGGCTGATATCAACAAGGCTAATAATGCTGGTTATTATCCTCTTCATATTGCCAGTAGGTCTGACTTAACTTGCATTGTACGAAAATTCATATCATTAAGCAATGTAAACATAAAATCCAATGATGGAAATTCTCCTCTGTTCTTAGCTTCCAAAGAGGGAAGTTGCAACGTTGTAAACCTACTATTAGAGAACAATGCAAATGTAAACCAATTAAATGAAAATTTGTCAAGTCCTTTATATATTTCGTCAAAATTGGGCTACCATGAAATTGTTCATAAACTTCTTCAGAGAGGTGCAAAAGTTAACATTCAAAATAAACAGGGCATCAGCGCTCTAATGGCTGCTTCATTTTATGGCCATAAACAGGTTGTGAAAACACTCCTTATAAATAATGCAGAAATAAACCAAACAGATAAAAAAGGGAATTCAATTTTAGCTGCAGCAGCACATGCAGGTCAGCTTCAAACTCTTTCTTTGCTGCTGGAAAGCGGTGCCAAACTCAATACATGCAATTCAAAAGGCAACACCCCTTTGTCTCTGGCATGTATTAGAGGATATCCTAAGATTGTGAATGAACTTATTTTGTGGGGGGCTAAAACAACTATTCGAAATAAAAACGGAGAAAGTCCATTAGTTCTAGCTGTCATCAATGGGCACAGGGATGTTGTTAAATCCCTTGTTCAGAGTGGAGTAAACGTCAATTGTATACAAAATGAAGGGCAAACACCTTTGTTGCTCTCTTCTTTTTATGGATATGGACAGATATCTTCAATTCTTCTGGAAAACAAAGCTAAAGTTAACATTTGTGATAATTTAAATTATACTCCTTTATTTATAGCCTCAAAATATGGTCATGGTGGCGCATTACTATCCCTTTTAGAGAAAACTGACGTGAATTATCAAAATCAATATGGAACTACAGCTCTTATGATATCTTGTCAGGAAGGACATGGCAATATAACTTGTTTACTAGTTCGGGCTGGTGCTAACGTTAATCTGTGTAACTGTTATGGAAGAACAGCTTTGTGGTTTGCTGCAAGGAATGGTTATGAAGAAATTGTACAAATCTTGTTGGATAACAACGCTAACATAAACGTTGAGGATAATTCAAAATCAAGTATCCTTCACATTGCAGCAAAATCAGGGAAGATGAATATAGTTAGGTTGTTGCTTCACAATAACGCCTGTACAGACTCACTGAATATTTCCTGTGATTCTCCACTTTCTTTAGCAGCTGCAAAAGGACATACTTCAGTAGTAAGAGAATTATTAGAACAAGGTTCAAAAGTCAATGTTCAAGATGATCAAGGGAGAAGTCCTCTCTATCTTGCTGCAAAATATCATCACACAGAAACGGTGAAAATACTGCTTCAATTCCATGCAAACGCTTATTTGTGTGACAAGGAGAAAAATTCGCCCCTCCACACAGCATCTTATTATGGATACACGGACATAGTAAGGCTTCTTTTCGGGGAAGGATTATTAATAAATGCACAAAATAAATTTGGACAAACTGCTCTGTGTTTGGCTACTGTACGTGGCCATTATAAGACTTGTGAATTTCTGTTGCTTCATCAAGCTGATGTGAAAGTCACTGACAGGGATGGAAATACGGCTTTTTTACTTGGGGCAATAGAGGGACAGACAGAACATTTAGAATTATTACTTATGTATGGCGCAGATATTAAACAAACCAATTTATTTAAACAAAATGCCCTAATCTTAGCTGCCGCTAGAGGACATTTTAAAACAGTTGAATTTCTTATGCCTCTTCTGCCGTCACTGGACGAAAAGGATATATATGGTCGAAGTGCATTATGGTATGTTGCTAAAAATGGACATTTGCAAATATTACTTCTTCTTGTTATGAATAAAGCAAATGTGAACATACCGGACAAAAAGCAAATAACTCCTTTACACGTAGCATGCTCTGAGGAAGAAAGGGACATTGTGATTTTCTTATTGAAGGCAGGTGCTGACGTTAATTATCAAGATGAAAAGATGCGAACACCATTATGGAAAACGACTTATTATCAAAATAAAACTATTCCGTTGGAATTACTAAAATTTAACGCTAATGCAAGACTAAGCAACCATTATGGAAATACACCATTTATTGTTGCTGCATACTTAGATAATGTTCCAGTCCTCGATGCTATTTTCTCCTTCGGTATTGACATAGACCACGTGAATTGTGCCAAAAGAACAGCTTTAATGATTGCAGCTGAGCGGGGGCACATCAAATCAGTTTCATATTTGATATCAGTTGGAGCCTGTGTTAATGCATTGGATGATATTGGTAGATCAGCTCTTTCACTTGCATCTTTAAATGGTCAACTACAGATTGTAAAACTTCTGATGGAAAATGACGCACAGATGAATCTTCCAGACGGAAATAAAGATTTTCCATTACATCTAGCTTGTAAAAAAGGTCATATTGAGGTAGTGAGATATCTTTTGCAAAAAGAAAGATTTATTCCCACTACTTACTTAAAGTTAAGTAAGGCATTAATCTATGCTGCAAGAAATGGTTGCCAAGATTTATGTAAACTTTTAATGCGTTTTGGTGCCTACCCATATATTCAAAGCGAAGATGGGGAAGCAGCTTGGTTTACAGCTGCTCAAAACGGACATTTAAATGTAATAACCGCTTTTATTCAACATGGAATTCTCGTAGACTTTTTGGATGCCCGAAAGCAAACGGCACTGATAATTGCTGCAAGGAAAGGGTATACACAGATCGTTCAGCATTTGATTAAAACAGGTCCTAATGTCAACTGTCAGGACTTCCATGGTCGATCTGCACTTTGGTATGCTTCAAAAAATGGGTTTTACGACACGGCGTACGAACTAGTTGAATATAAAGCAGATATAAGTTTGCAAGACAAACAAGGTTTGAATCCACTGCATATCGCAGTAATTTCTGGACGATTAACCCTTACAAAATTCCTCCTTGAAAAGGGTGCATTAATCAATTCATTGGATTATTTTAATCACAATGCAGTATTTCTGTCTGTATTGGCCAAAAAACACCACATAACCTCGCTTCTATTGCAAAACAATGCAGAAATAAATGTCATTGATAGTGTCGGGATACATATATTATTTGTTTCCGTTTACAGAAGAGATATTCATCTCACTAAAACTCTTTTAGACTACGGATGTAATATTAACTTGACGAACGGAAAGAATGTCAGTGCATTGATAATAGCTGCCTGTGAGGGCAATCAGTCTATAGTGGAATTTCTTTTGGGTTATGGGGCGAAAATAGATCAGCAGGATAAAGATGGAAGAAGTCCACTATGGTATGCTGCAGGAAACAATTTCACTAAAATTGTAGAATTACTCTTAAGGAACAATGCTAATATAAATTTATCGGATAATAATGGATATTGTCCTGTACATATTTCAATTATACGTGGGCATACCCAGATGGTTGACTTACTCCTTGGATATGGTGCAAAAATAAATATTTCCGGAAAGATGGAATTAAATCCATTGATTTTATCTGTGGCAACAGGGCAAAAGGATGTGTTAGTCTGGCTACTAAAGAAACATTATGACATTAACAAAGACAATCATATTATTCAAAATTTGATGTTTTGGACTGCCTTCTGTGGCTACGAAAAATTAATTCAAACTCTTCTAGAATACGGTGCCTCTGTGAACATAGTTAATAAAAGCAAAGAATCTCCTTTACATTTGGCATCTTCTCGTGGAAATGTTTTAGCTGTTGAAGTACTTGTTGAATCAGGTGCAAATATAAATGCTCAAGATGTAAATGGACGAACCTCATTATGGTATGCATCAAAACAAGGTCACCAAACAATATGTCAATATCTATTAGAAAACTCAGCTGATGTAAATCTGTACGCTAAACCAATTATGAACTTATACTGTCAGGACAGCCTACATGTTATCAAATGTGGGTCATCAATTTCACAGAACTCCACATTAGGCATTTCATTAGATGATAATTTTGCAGACATTATTAAACGTAGCGAAACACCCGTTGAGGTACTTATGTTAATTAATAATTATCTAACAATGCTTTCAAAATTTGGATGTGAAGAAATATATAATCAAACTAACCGTTTCACTGCTATCATTCTTGCTGCACATGAAGGCTTTGCTGAAATAGTTCAAATTCTTATTGAAAAAGGAGCTGATATTAATAGCAAAGACAAAAGAGACAGAACAGCTTTATGGTACGCATCTGCAAAGGACAACAGATCAATTGTTAAAACTTTATTGAAATATAATGCTGACATTCACTCCGTTGACAATCGAGGATTCAGTGCCTTGCATATAGCTTCTGTAAGAGGTAATACCTATATCGTTGAATTACTCATAGCACACGGGAGTTGTGTAAACGAAGAAAATTGTTTTAATCAAAATGCATTGTTTTCATCGATATCATTGTGTCATACAAAAACTGCAAAAATTTTATTACAAAACTACGATAGAGTAAACAATGAAGACGTCATCGGGAGTCCGATATTGCAAGCAGCATTTTCCGGGAGAGTCGAATTGATTCAGCTTTTACTTCAACATGGTTATTCTCTCAACAGCTCTGACCGTAACAAAATATCCCCCCTCCATTTAGCATCAGGCAGTGGTCATTATGGAATGGTAGAATATCTAATTCAAAATGGATGCAACATAAATGCGAAGGACATAGAAGGAAGAACGCCATTATGGTATTCACTAAAATACTGTCATTTAGATATATCAAAATTTCTTTTAAGCAACCAAGCGAAAGTAGATATTCTTGACTCAAAGATGCTTTCTTTGCTACATTACGTCACCTTTGAAAGGAACAGAAATAAAGCTACACTTCTAATCAAGCACGGTGCATGTTCTAACGCATTTGATTTTCAAGGACGCAGTCCTCTTTGGTATTCAGTAGCAAGACGATGTAAGAGTTTAACAAAATTGCTTCTTGAAACAGGTGGAAATCCGAATTCTTTTGACATCAATGGCATAAATGTATTATTTGTAGCTGCATTCCAAGGCAAAATGTCGTTGATCAAACTTTTAATCAAATTTGGTGCTGACGTAAATTTATGTAACCGAAGTAAAATTACTGCCTTATTAATAGCCGCATGCGAAGGACATTCTAAGGTGGTAAAATTTCTTTTAGAGAAGGGATCAAATGTTAATAGTAAAGATAAGCTTGGGCGAACGGCCATTTGGTACGCTGCGGGAAATAACAATTGTGATTCAATTGATATACTTTTGAAGAATCATGCTGTTATAAATGACTCCGACGAGAATAGATGCAGTCCACTCCATATTTCAACTTTTCGAGGAAATTTATTGGCTGTTAAGATATTGTTGACAAACGGAGCAAACATTGTTTACTACAGAAACCTTTCTGACAGTCTTCTATGGGCATCAGCTGCATTGGGATTTAAGGAAATATTTGAAGTTTTATTTCTTAAAATTGGGCATTATTATTCTTCTACTCAGTCTTTGACAGAACTATTACTTACAGCAGTTTTTTCTCAGTCTGAAAATTTAGTAAAATATCTTTTGGACCTGGGACTGTCTGTTAACTCTTGCAATAACAGTTCGGAAACGCCGCTTCATATTGCTTCAAGTAAACGTAATGTTTCTATCGTTAAACTTTTGATTCAAACCGGTGCAGATGTTAATGCCTTAGATATAGGTGGACGCTCACCTTTATGGTATGCATCCAAGAACGGATACTTCGATAATCTCAAGGTTCTATTAGAAAATTCTGCAGATGTAGATTTGAAGGATAAAAATGGTATTTCTCCGGTTGCAGTAGCTGAGTTTTTTGAGCATCGGAAAGTTTTACATTTGTTGCAGAAAAACTCGAAAGTCTTATGTTAATAAAACAATTTCTTTATCGTTGCCAAGGACATAAAGTATTTATTTTAAAGATTCAATGATTTGTGATATTATAAGCAACATATATAGTTTCCCTTTCTACTTGTAATTATCAATAAAGTATTTATATAAATATTTTTTATATTCAGAGACACAGAGAGAGAGAGAGAGAGAGAGAGAGGAGTAATTGCTCTATATTTCTTAGTATGGCTATAAACCCGATCTAGATCTGAAGTATAAGAGTATCATTGATTACGTCTGTCATTAATTTTCTAGCGTCTGTCGCTCTGTTCTATGTCAATGGAAAAGGAGATAAGGGGACTATCTACTTATCTATAATACCTTTTTATTTCAATTCAGTTAAAATCAATATATAAAGTTTGTCGTCTTGCAAAAATTTCAGTTTGATTGAATAAATTGTATGTTGTTTTACGTCTTACTTGAGCATTTTTCACTCATGTAGAGACATCATCATATACCAAAGAAGGGCTTCATATTTTGACCTTTACTCGGCACTCTGGGTCATTGAGCAGGGAGTATCATTTATTATGCAAACGCCTGCTGTGACATGGGAAGTCTTTTTTTTGTCTCATCCGAAGGACCCGCAAGTTTTTAGCTCACCTGAGCTAAGGCTCAAGTGAGCTTTTCTGATCAAAATTTGCCCATTGTCTGTCGTCGTCGTTGTCGTTGTTGTCGAAAACTTTTAATATTTTCATCTTATCCTCCAGAACCTCTGGGCAAATTTCAACCAAACTTGCTACAAAGTATCATTGGGTAAAGGGGATATAATTTTTTTAAATGAAGGGCCATGCTCTCTTTCAAAGAGAGATAATTATGAATAAGTGATAAATTAATTGTATCTTTTAAAAATCTTCTTTTCAAGAACCATAGGGCTAGGAAATATGAAACTTATGTGGAAACATCCTCATGTAGTGTAGATTAAAGTTTGTTCAAATCATGACCTCCAGGGGTAGGAAGGGGCCACAATATTAATGGGGTATCAAAAAATAACTTCAGAAAACATTGGATATATCTTAAAAATTCTCTTCACAAGAACTAGTGGACCAAGAAATATGACACTTATGAGGAAGCATCCTCATGTAGTATAGATTCAAAATTGTTCAAATCATGACCCCCGGGGTAGGGTTGGGCCGCAATGGGGTTTCAAAGTTTAACATAGGAAGACTAGAAATTTAAATCCTCTTCTCGAGAACCAGTGGCCCAGGAAAGATGAAACTTATATGAAAGCATTATCATGTAGTGTAGACTCGGGTTTTGCTTCTGTTTGGTATGACAACATTTCTGGATCAAAATTTAACATAGGAAAACATAGAAAAAATCTTTTAAAATCTTCTCATGATCAGCAAAGCCATGATTGGTCATAGTTATATGGAAGCATCCCCTGGGAATAAAATTCCAGTTTTTTTTTTTCAAATCATGACCTCTTTGGCAAGGGTGGGACTATTATGGTGATCAAAGGAGGATTTCATTTCTTTTTAAATTCTTCTTCTTGAGAACAGCAAAGTTGTGATTGGTCATAGTTATATGAAAGTATCATATGGTAGTGTATACTTTACTTTGTTCAAATCATGACCAACGGGGGTAAATTTGGGGCCTGTATATCAGAGTTTTACGTAGGAATACATGGGAAAAATCATTAAAATTCTTCACAAAACCATGATTAATCATAAATTTAAAAGCATTGTTAATGTAGATCATAATAATAAACAACAAAGCCATTATGTGTCATATTAATTCAAATGCATTCTTAGGAAGTGTAGATTTAAGTTTGTTCAATTCCCCCCTCCTCCCTCGAAGCCACTTTTTATAATATATTCAAATTTTTGAATACTGAACTGATTTTTGCTTTTACTTAGCAAGTTGTTCAGGTGAGCAATCTGACCCCTTGGCCTCTTGTGCTTCAAGTCCCGAGTGAATGGCGAACAATCTAATTAAAATTAGATGTTTGATCCGCTCCCATACTCGCTACACTAACTTCTAACACCATCCATAGAAGATCGCGTCAGAGGTCAAATTCGGAAGAACTCTTGACTTATACGCTACAATAAATATACGATCTGATTGGTTGATTAAATTTGACCTCTGGCGTGTCCCTCTATAGGATGTTGTTACATGTTAGTAAAGCGAGTATGTTAGCGCATCTAACATCTTATTTTAATTAGATTGCATGGCGAAGAAACAGTTGATATCAGTTTATTTTTATCGAAGAAATAAATGTACTTGTTGTTTGATTCCCATTGCTGATCCCTAAAGCTAAGACCATAGTTTCATTTCATAAGTCACATCATGCCAAGATTGATATTTGCAACAAGTCTTCGTCTGAAAGCATAAAAATAATAACGGGGCGAAATTAAATTGTTTAAATGATGCACTTAGCATTACATTATGGTATAGCAGTAACAAGGAAATTTGAACAGCAAAGGAAAAATTATGAGAATTTGTATAATATTATAGCGCTTTGATTTGAAGTACTTAACATTTTGAGTCAATAAGAATTAAAAAAGTAATTTATATTAACAATGGTTTTAATAACATTTCTGTTTTATTATAAACTTTTACATTATTGAAGATATTATGTTATTGATACAGTTTGTTTATGAATTTTGATATACGATTGTTTATTATATGAATATAGTTGAAAAGATAGTGGTTCCAACAATTGTTATTTCAATCTAGTTACGAATTTAGGGACTTAACTCATCCATCCATACGCATCGCTTTTGTTTATTTTTTACCCTGTGCAGTTATGTAACCATTCGTTGATCCACATGTTTTAGCGCCAGGATTTTTTTCTTATGTCATCCAAATTCTCTACAGGGTTTGGTGTCATGCAAATAAATACCTGTAGGTCATCCTACAAAATATGTGAAAAAATGTAGAATTTTATTGATCAGTGATTTGTACATGTATTTTTGAATAAATTCATTTCTAAATAGTTATTATTGTTCTTTAAATACTGTAGATTCCTAAATATAATCCAGGAAATTATTATTGTGTTATTTCGCAATAAGCACCAAACTCGAAATAAAATAACTTGCCTTTATTTTTATGTTGCTGCATTCAATTTGAAATCACTTGATCAACAGTTCAATGGCGAATTATTATTCTCGCAATTTAATGTTGAAGAGCCCATTTGCGGTAATAAGTTCAGTAATAAATACTCGCGAAAAATAAGGAATATGCGGAATGTCGTCAATATCGTGTTCTTAACCGTTGATCTTAGACATAACACCCGTTTTCGATGTTTAATTACTTCTTATTCCTTTTTTATAGATAAAACTTTTGAGTTCAGCATATAGATTTTAAATTGATCGTTGTTTTTAATATTGGTAAGTAATAAATTGTGTGACGGTTTTCAAAATAAAATAAAGATTTATATCTACTCCTACTAAAAATATTGCAACTGATGGCTGCTTTGAAATTTCATTAAAGAGAAGTGTTTGATTGCTCTGAGAGTTTTTCTCTCAAAAAATGCGATAATTTATTATTCAATAATACTGATTTCAAGTCTTTTTCTATACATTCCGGTAAAAGTGTTGCAATTGCGAAAGGATAGTTAAATAGATAATACAAAATAGAGCTTTCTTCACAGCTACCCATCTTTAGCAACAACTTAAAACAGTAGACTAATCCACTCTTATCAGATCGTTTTATTCTTAAGCATTTATTAGCTTAATAATTTAATTTTGTTTGTATTCTAGTCTCTCATCGGTTGATTTCCAAACAGGAACGCAAATTATTCTGTATAATCTCGTTTGGTATGGAAACACACCCCTTGACAAACAACTTAATCATCTGTATCCATGCAATCCCCTCATTTCCAGTCCTCGAGATTCATGGAAAATTCCAGGTTAAATAAATGTACCTTTAACTTCAAACAGAAGCTCGATCTTACCTCATGTAAAGAAACATCATGGTTGTTTGGTCTGCGAATCAGCTATTTCCTTCCCTCGTTTCCAATCACTTCCGTCACTACGGTTGACTTGTAGTAACTTGAATCTGAATTCATACAAAGCAGCAAAATTTTACATCTACAGTTGTTTAATTATTTTAAAATAAAATTATAAGGAAAGACGCTTCTTTCATAATCTGCGGATTATGAGCGTAAACCAGGTTATATCGAATAATCTGGTCAAGAATCAGTCATCCCTTTAATTTTTCTTCATTTGCATTTTAATAACATTACCCCTGCCATTTGACCTTCGGTAATGAATCCTTGTCTGACTCTACTACATACGCTCTAAACATGCACGTTAGTGTGTGAGGTACGAGCCTTTCTAGCATGTTATAATTCAAACAGACGCTTGGCTTTTCCGTAACTTCCAACTCTGCTGCAGAGAGACATTACAAAACAAAGAGAAAAGAAAGGTTGAGATATTAAACGTATACGCGTACGTGTTCTTGTGCTCATTCTTTGACGTACACGTATACGTTTATGTAATTTGTCTGTTGATATTTTAATGATGTTTAACAGCACGTGTACACCGTGATCGTTGTCTTTGTTTAACAATTTCAAAGTTTTGTGACGTCAGTTTGAATTTAGTAAGCAAAACATGATGAAGATAAGTCTTCATAAAACTATATATCCTGAATAATGGATAACAACCACAATTTCACATGTAAATTGACTAATTTTTGTTATTAAAGCTACAAGTTTTCAATTACGTGCAGATGCCATTTAACAAGTTTTAAGAACGTGTAGTATTCTTGCCATCACAACTGAATTTGATCACAAGGAATTTAGGTTTATTTCCCCTCTACACCTTTGAAATCCCAACCTCTCTATTGTTTGCTGTAAAGGCCATTTCTGCTGACAAGGTAAATAAAGAAACATTTTTGAGCAATTGATTTCAAAACGTGTCATTTAGATTTTTTGTCCATTTTCCTCCATTCCGGTTGCTCTTTTTTTTTATTGTTTTAAATGATTGTTAAGTTGTACAAAAAATAGATAATCAGATATTCATTTCTTTTGCACTGATCAG